AGCTCACACCTATAATCCCAGCACTTTGGGAGGCCAAGATGGGTGCATCACATGAGATCACATGAGGTTGAGAGTCAAGACCCGGCTGGCCAACATTGTGAAACCCTGTCTGTTTTAAAAATACAAAAAAATTAGCTAGCCGTGGTGGAAAGCACCTGTAATCCCAGCTGCCCTGGAGGCTGAGGCAAGAGATTCACTTGAACCAGGGAGGTGGAGCTTGCCAAGATCCTGCCATTCCACTCCAGCCTGGACAACAGGGGCGAAACTCTGCCCCCCCAAAAAAAAAAAGATGTTGTGTACATTTAACATATTAGGCTATCTAAGCTTTTATTCTGTGAATAAAAAGCAAAGAGGAAGTGAGATATCCTTCCTGGTAAATGCTGAGTGTTTCTGAATGTTGAATTTTGTTAACTGACTGAATCTGTCTCCATTATGCTATTGAAAGTGCTTTCTCAAGGTCACCAGAGACATATTACAAATCCAGTGAATTTTGCCAATTCTTTCTGCATTCTAACCTCTCTGTAGCATCTGACACTTCCTTGATATAGTTTGTTTTTTAGACAGAGTCTGCTTTTTTGCCCAGGCTGGAGTGCAGTGGTGTGATTGTGGCTCACTACAGCCTCTGCCTTCCAGGTTCATGCGAATCTCCAGCCTCAGACTCCCAAGTAGCTGGGATTACAGGTGTCCACTGCCACACCCGGCCTAATTTTTGTATCTTTAGTAGAGACAGAGTTTCACCATGTTGGCCAGGCTGGTCTCAAACTCCTGACCTCAAGTGATCCACCCGCCTCAGCCTCCCAAAGTGCTGGGATTACAGGTATGAGCCACCGCGCCCGGCCTACTTCCTTGATTGTTTTTATGATGTTCTCTTAATCCTCCTATGATAACACAGCACACAATCCCAGTTCCATACCTCTCTGACAGTGCCTTTCACTCCTTTAGGACTCTCTGTGTCCTCATGTCCCTTCAAACTGACATTCAGCCCTTGAGAGGGACTTTTGATCTAATATTTGGTCAAAAGTTTAGACTAGCTTAGAAGTGAGCTCTGGAGGCAAGAAAATGGATGAAATAACTAGTCCAGTTTTCTTTGTTGATTTGACCAAGTAAACCTAAATTTTCTGCTGCTGAAATTAAGTAACAGTGACCTTTCCCCAAAGATTTCCACAGGAAAAAATTTTGTCACTAGATAGAATTTTCTGAATTTTCCTTTTTTTTCTCCCATAATTTTTTATTTTTATTTATTTATTTATTTATTTAGAGACAGTTTTGCTCTTGTTGCCCAGACTGGAGTGCAGTGGTGCAATCTCAGCTCACTGCAGCCTTCACCTCCTAGGTTCAAGTGATTCTCCTGCCTCAGCCTCCTGAGTAGCTGGGATTACAAGCATGTGCCATCACACCCTGCTAATTTTTTGTATTGAGTAGAGATGGGGTTTCACCATGTTGGTCAGGCTGGTCTCAAACTCCTGACCTTAGGTGATCCACCTGCCTCAGCCAAAGTGCTGGGATTATAGGCGTGAGCCACCATGCCCAGCTCCATCATTTTTTATATTTTTGGTATCATCAATAGCCTGTCAAGTAATGAATACAGCCAATAACAAATGAACAAATTCACAAGTATTTTATGGTGTACTGAATAATGCAGCTTGGATTTTAGGTATACCATCCCCAGAACTGGTCTGTTCTGACCTGTAGGCTGACCCGTAGAGGACCCTTGAAGTGGGCTGCACCTCTCAGTCCATCCCTGCACTCCTGAAGTCAGGTTCCAGAATGTTAGCTGTCAGGCCTTAAATTTCCACCCAACTCTTCAAAATAAGTTTACACATAGGAAGGAGACCAAAATGGGAAGGGGCTCTAAACACCATAAGGAACAGTTGAGGAAATCTATGAAAAAGACTCGGTCAAGGGCACGTGAAAGATGTCTTCAAACATGTATGGAAGAGAAATTAGATCTACTCTATGGGTACAGAAGACCAACTGAAGACTAATAGGAAAAATTTTGTTTGTTTGTTCATTTGTTTGTTTGTTTGTTTTGAGAGGGAGTCTTGCTCTGTTGCCCAGGCTGGAATGCAGTGGCACAATCCTATCTCAGCTCACTGTAACCTTCACATTTCAAGTTCAAGCAATCCTCCTACCTCAGCCTCCCAAGTAGTTGAGATTACAGGCACCCACCACCACTCCCAGCTAATTTTTGTATTTTTAGTAGAGATGGGGTTTCGCCATGTTGGTCAGGCTGATCTTGAACTCTTGACCTCAGGTGATCCGCCCATCTTGGCCCACTATGCCTGGCCCAGAAAAAGTTTTAACAGAGCTAGTTTAAAATGAAGTGATACTGTCTCAGGCAAGATGTTGGTTTCCAGTTCCTGGAAGTATTTGAGAAGCAGAGGCTAAATGAACATTTGTCAGAGTTATAACAAAAGCAGTTCATTTATCAAATTGAGATTTAAACTTCTAACTCTAAATGACACCTTCCTCTCCTTCTTTTTTAGAGGGAGGAGGAGCCCTTATCTGAACTTGGGGTTCCTAGCCTAAAAAATGAGATTTCAGACATAGGAGCAAAGATGGAAGCAGGGTTAGATAGATAGCTAGATAGCCAGATAGATAGATAGATAGATAGATAGATAGATAGATAGATAGATGAAGACATTTGGGTGGGAACAGGAGGAAAGGCAATGACGGGGCTCCTTGGAGTAGCATAAAGCAGGTGACTGATGGAAGGGAAGGGTAAAGTGAGGCAAGGCAGAGAAGGATATCAGAGGAGGGGAGGAATGTCTGTGTGAGGGTTCAGAGAAAGAAGACCTGGTGTCTGTGGAAAATGGTAGCACTTTATCTACCCAGAGAGGAGGGTGCAAGCCAGAGGTTGGCATAGATAGTGTTACACAGAGAACACTTACATTTCAACAGAGGAACTTGGATATAGGCTCTTGTTCACTGGAAGGAAGACATGCCAGTGTAATGGGAGCTGTAGCAAGCCCCATCTTAAACACTAACACAAGGCCTGTCGCAGTGGCTCACTCCTGTAATCCCAGCACTTTGGGAGGCTGAGGTGGGTGGTCCACCTGAGGTCGGGAGTTCGAGACCAGCCTGACCAACATGGAGAAACCTGTCTCTACTAAAAATACAAAATTAGCCAAGTGTGGTGGCGCATGCCTGTAATCCCAGCTACTCGAGAGGCTGAGTCAGGAGAATCACTTGAACCTGGGAGGTGGAGGTTGCAGTGAGCCGAGATCGTGCCATTGCACTCCAGCCTGGGCAAGAAGAGCCAAACTCTGTCTAAAAAAAAAGCTAATACAAAAGAGACAACCTACAACATGTTGATAAAGAAAGTAAAGGCTAACTTACAAAAATTGTGAATATTTGAAGAAATTCCAAGTGTGATTTCTGCTTTTAACCTACTTTTTTACTTTGACCACGGGAGCATCTTTTCAAATATCAATCTCTTTATTCACCAAATGTACTTTTCTCTTTCAGGCAGAAGGCCACAAGCTATACAAGGACCTGAAGAACTTCCTTAGTGCAGTCAAAGGTGGGTATTGCAGCATGGGATAATCCAGAGGGCATTTATACAGCTACTCAGAGGTTTAGGGGTGGAAAACAACAACCATACCCCCAGATTTTTGTCATTTTATCATTTATTTAGACTCCTGGAACTTTGTGGGCCGAGGAAGAGTGATTTTTCCTTTCAGCCCATCCAGCTTCCCTCACTTACATAACCCAGACCTTCTGAGTTTGTCCTTCTGAATTGAACCCACTGATTTGTCACCCATGTGATTACACCAACACTGTTGGGGAACTTAATGGTGGGACTGAATTCTCTCCTTTCAGTGATGCATGAAAGTTCAAAAAGAGTGTCAGAAACCCTGCAGGAGATCTACAGCAGCGAGTGGGATGGTCACGAGGAGCTGAAGGCCATCGTAGGGGTAAGAGTGGCTTGGGTTTCACAACTTGTCGGCACGTACTACTGTTTGCATCTCAACCTCAGCTTAGCTTCTCTATCGAAGAAAATAGGAGAACAAAGGGGCCAGTTCACACTGTGCATTTGTATAGGCACAGTCACTGGGTGGTAGGAAGAAGCTGCAACTATGAAGATAAAAACAAGTTTTCCCTAATCTGTGGATTCCTTTAATTTTGACCCTCTTCCGCTCTTTAAAACATTATGGGAAGTTTTGGGTCCTGAAGATTGGTTGTTTTTTTAAAACAAAGTTCATGCAGTTATATACTCTTAAACTTTCCCTTCTAAGCTCTGGAGTCCAAGGCTTTGACCTTGTGCTCTGTTCTTAATCCCTGAATGTATGTTCAGACCCCCAAAGAGCAGTTCCTTGGGGCTGTTTCTTTTCTTCCTCTGACTATTCCCCAGAATCCAACATGATATTCTAAATACAGTGCTACAAAAAAGAAGTTTTTTGCAAGAAGAATTTGGATATTACCCTGGTAGACAGTTGTGGTTAGGAAGTGGAGCCTTCACCAGCCTCTGCCTCCATCCCACAGAATAATGATCTCCTTTGGGAGGACTACGAGGAAAAACTGGCCGACCAGGCTGTGAGGACCATGGAAAACTACGTCGCCCAGTTCAGCGAGATTAAGGTACTCAATATACAGAATCAAGGCTGGGTTGTGGATGGCCCAATCCAGGTTAGAGAACTTATTGGGTTAGGCATTGTAAGTAGAATTAGAGCTTCATGATTAGAAATGAAGTTTGGGTAAGTTAGGAGAAAGATTAAGGCTGAGGGTTAGACAAGAGGTTAGGACAGAAGGTTGGAAGTAGTGTGAAGTTTATGTTTAAACTTAGATTTCAAGGCTGGGCGCATTGGCTTACACCTGTAATCCCAGTACTTTGGGAAGCCAAGGCAGGAGGACCACTTGAGCCTAGGAGTTCAAGACCAGCCTGGGCAATGTGGCAAAACCCCATCTCTACAAAAAACTGCTTAAAAAATTATTTAGTGTGGTGGTATGTGTCTGTAGTCCCAGCTACCTTAGGAGGCTGGGTGAAGGATCGCTGGAGCTGGGGAGGGAGAGGTTGCAGTGAGCTGAGATCATGCCACTGTGGTCCAGCCTGGGTGACAGAGGCTGGTGTCTCAAGTAAATACATAAAATAAACTTAGATTTCAGTGAGCTATATTTACACTGATTTTGAATTAGATCCAAGTTAGAGGCATCCCTTTTAGCTGTGACAAACAGCTGATGGCACTAAAGATATTTATTGTATAGGAGAGGAAACATGGAGCAATCAAATAGTTATCTTCAAATACTTGAAAGTCTGTTGGGTAAAAGAGGAAATCCGCCTATTCTAAACTTTTCCAGAAAGCTGAATTAGAATCCATCTATTCATTAAGCTAGTATTTTTTTTTGAGACGGAGCCTTGCTGTGTTACCCAGGCTAGAGTGCAATGGTACAGTCTCGGCTCACTGCAACCTCCGCCTCCCAGGTACAAGCAATTCTCCTGCCTCAGCCACCGGAGTAGCTGGGATTCCAGGCATGCACCGCAATGCCCGGCTGATTTGTATTTTTAGTAGAGACAGGGTTTCACCATGTTGGTCAGGCTGGTCTCGAACTCCTGACCTCAAATGATCCGCCCACCACAGCCTCCCAAAGTGCTGGGATTACAGGCATGAGTCACCGCACCCGGCACTAGTTTTTATTAAACACCTACTCTGTCAGGCACTGTGCTGATTCAGAGGAAGAAGTTAGAGGGGGGCTGACTTAAGTTCCTAATAGTTAAAGCTTTCCAAAAACAAAATAAAATAGACTCAAAGATAGTGAGTTGTCTGTTGTTTGGGCAAACAGAAGTCAAACTACTTCTTGTCTTGGATATTGTGGAGAAGCCTCATGTATTATGTGGGAAGTTGGACCACATAATTGCTAAAATCTTTTCAAATTCTGTGACTGAGAGAATGAGACGATTCAATAACATGGTTTGCTTCTCCCTGGTATAATTTATCTTTTGGATAAGATTGAGTAGACTTTCTCTCAGTGCTCATAGTAATTTATGGCTTTTATTGTGTTTTAGAGCTTTCAAAGCACTTTGTATTCAGCATTCAGTCTTTCAAATAACAGTTGTATAAGGGCAGATGGGGCTACTGAGGCTCCAAAAGAAATGTGCCTTGCCACTGGCCACAGGCTAATGAATGGCAGATTTGGGACTAAGGCCCAAAAATCCAGACTTTCACTTTTATGTGATTCTCAAGGTCATTTCTCCTGGAGACTGAACTAGTTTATAATGGGTTCATAGGAAATACTAAAATTTAATACAGGGGGAGGTGGAGGCGAAAAAAATATATGTATGTTACAGATTTCCACATGCTCTGCAGAATTGCCCCTTACTCTATCTCCCTCTGAGAATGCCCCATTCTTCCTAGATACTGAGGGAGATCCCATGGGCACACAACCCTACTAGAAAATGAAATTTGGGCCGGGCGTGGTGGCTCATGCCTGTAATCCCAGCACTTTGGGAGGCTGAGGCAGGCAGATCACATGAGCCTGGGAGCTCGACACAAGCCTGGCCAACATGGCAAATCCCCATCGCTACTAAAAATACAAAAATTAGCTGAACTTGGTGCACACACCTATAATTACAGCTACCTGGGAGGCTGAAGCACAAAAATTGCTTGAATCTGGAAGGCAGAGGTTGAAGTGAGCTGAAATCTCAACACTGCACTCCAGCCTGGGCAACAGAGCAAGACCCTGTCTCAAAAAAACAAACACAAAGGCCAGGCGAGGTGGCTCACACCTGTAATCCCAGCACTTTGGGAGGCCAAGGCGGGTGAATCATGAGGTCAGGAGTTCAAGACCAGCCTGGCCAACATAGTGAAACCCCATCTCTACTAAAAATACAAAAAATAAAAAATTAGCCAGGCATGGTGTCAGGTGTCTGTAGTCCCAGCTACTTGGGAGGCTGAGCCAGGAAGATCATTTGAACCCAAGAGGTGGAGGTTGCAGCAAGCCGAGATAGTGCCACTGCACTCCAGCCTGGGTGACACAGCGAGACTCTGTCTCAAAAACAAAACAAAAGTAAACAAAGCCATAATAACCCCAGTGTGGCGGGGGGAGGGAAACAAAAGTGAAATTTGATAGTAGGACCCACAAATCTTACTCTCTGCTTGGTACTCTGTTACCTATATCCTGGCCACTAAAAAGTGAGTATCCATGCTCTTTCTTGGTACCTTGATCAGGAGAGAATTGCCAAGCGGGGACGGAAGCTCGTGGACTATGATAGTGCCCGACATCACCTGGAAGCAGTGCAGAATGCCAAGAAGAAAGATGAGGCCAAGACTGCCAAGGTAAAATGAAAACAGCAACAAAAACTGGTAAATTCTTCCTGTTCTCTCTCTCCCCATGGTGGTAACAGGTGGCTGGGCCAAGGTGGCTATGGGAAATTATAAATTCGGCATCAAGTGTCCTGAAGGAAATCTGTTTCTTCTGACACTGATGCTGTAAGGATAGTCAGAGTCTTGAGGCTGAGGAAGGCATGGTCAGGGAAAGAAGAGGGACGGCTCCTCATAAGGCTAGTGCCTAAAAAATGCAGAGGATAAAGCAGGTATGCTGTTGTCCTGGGTTCAGAATTGAGGGCGATTGTCTTGTCTCTTTTACCACTTAGGCAGAGGAAGAGTTCAACAAAGCCCAGACTGTGTTTGAAGATCTGAACCAAGAACTGCTGGAGGAGCTGCCCATTCTTTATAATAGGTAATGACTGGAATTCAGAAAAGGTACCTTTGCTTCACACAAGGCACCTTGTGTGCCTTGACGAGTAGGCAGATAAAAGTGTTTTAGATTTAAATTCCCGCACCCCCCACTTTTTTTTTTGAGACAGGGTCTCACTCTGTCGCCCAGGCTGGAGTGCAGTGGTACTCAATATCAGCTCACTGCAACCTCCACCTCCCTAGTTCAAGGGATTCTTGTGCCTCAGCCACCCGAGTACCTGGGATTACAGGCATGTGCCACCTACCAAACCTGGCTAATTTTTGTTTTTTTAGTAGAGATGGGGTTTCACTGTGTTGCCCAGGCTGGTCTCAAACTCCTGGCCTCAGTGATCTGCCTACCTTGGCCTCGCAAAGTTCTGGGATTATAGGTGTGAGCCATCAAGTGCAGCCAAATTTTCCACATTTAAAGAGAAATCTGAGCAGAAACTCCATTTGTATCCTTTTTTCTTTTTATTGTACAAGATATGCATTAATACAATTGTAGTCAGAGTATTTTATATTGTCACTTATTAGTGTACATAGGATGGAGCCTTTTAATGAATACATGTATTCTAAAACATTATGTGACTCCTAGTTAAAATAAAATTGAAATTTCATTTTATTGATTTATTTTGAGACAGGGTCTCATTCTGTTACCCAGGCTGGAGTATGGCTCACTGCAACTTATGCCTCCCTGTTAAATCAATTCTCCCCCTTCAGCTTTCTGAGTAGCAGGGACTACAGGCACGTGCTACCACACTTGACTAATTTTTGTATTTCTTGGTAGAGACAGGTTTCACCCTGTTGGCCAGGCTGGTCTCAAAGTCCTGACCTCAAATGATCCATCTGCCTAAGCCTCCCAAAGTGCTGAGATTACAGGCGTGAAACACCATGCCTGGCCTAGAAATGAAATTTAATAGTTTAAAAGTATACTTCCTTGATTCACTTACAGGATTATTCCATTAATGTACATACAGGTGTAGAAGTCCTGTATTCATAAAGGAAAGAATAATTCTTGCTGTAATAATTATAATTAGATGGCCTTATATTAATACAGCTCTTTAAAAAATTATTCAAAGCCCTTTCATGTCTATTCGATCCTTCAACAGCCCAAATCAAGTAACTCCATGAAACTGTTAAACTTTGGTGTCAACCTGAGCTGATATTTTCTCCCCTGGCCTTCCTGCTCTGAAGAATCATGTGTGTTCCTGGCCCAGCTCTGATGAATACAGATCCCAGAACATCCTGAGTGTGGGATATGGGATGGTTTTCTTTTCGGAGCCTTGGTGGTGGCTGGTTTCGGCTCAAGGTCCTACCTTGTATTTGAAACAAAGAACTCCTTTCCTATGCTTTACCCATATGTGTTTGTTGTTTTGCTTCCTAATAGTCGTATTGGCTGCTATGTGACCATCTTCCAAAACATTTCCAACCTGAGGGATGTCTTCTACAGGGAAATGAGCAAGGTGAGAAACATCTGACCAATTGAGACTCCTAGGTGTGTTTTCTAGTAAATATGAAGGTAGCATTGACTTACATAATTTCTGTAAATATCCATGTTGACACCACAGATTTTGACTTTTATCTCATGATGAAATAAGAGCACTTGATTGTGTACTTAACTATATTAAAGCACATATATACACAATCAGAGGGCCCTTTCATCTCCCTTAACAACTGAATAAGTACGTCCAAATTGGAGCTTTAGCATGAATAAAGGAGGTTAGGCCTATGGAAGGAAGAATTGAAATGGGGAACCCCATTGTGAAATCTCTATTGTTGCTAGGGACTATTTAAGGACAAGTCAGTTTCTCAGGTGGTTGGTCTCAAATAAAACTAATCCTGTCAGTGATAGCCAGCCATATAACATAACTTATGAGGTCTTTTCTAGGCCTGAGATTCCAAGATTCTTTGCTACTACACAGTTATATTTACATACAGCTACACATATTACTCTCCATAGTTTATTTGGCTAAAGTATGATTTGCCTAATTAATATTAAAAATGAGTTTTCATTCCCTGGATCACCTGTGAGAAGCTAGAACCTCAAATCAGACATCAGTTACGGACCCTGCATTGAGACAGCTGCCAGTCTGTTGGAAGAGGCAGAACTTAGAACACAGAGAGACAAGGAAGAGGCGGTAGCAGGACAGGACCTGGATTCTGGTTCTAGACAGACAGAGAGGAATTCAGATTGGAGTTGAAAGGGAGGGGTTTTATTTTGGGAAACCATCTGAAGGGGAGGGGAGAAGGGATATGTATTCTCGGGTTCCCAGTTGGCTAGCATTCCCTTCTTTCTCACTGGCTCTAGCTGAACCACAATCTGTACGAGGTGATGAGCAAACTGGAGAAGCAACATTCCAATAAAGTCTTTGTGGTGAAGGGACTATCAAGGTGAGCACCATTCAAGACCCTTTTCTGCTTCGCTTGTCCCGTGTGTGAATGTGTTCAACATCCTCATCTCCAGTCCAGAATCCTGACCCATGCTTTATGTACATGATGTACATGATGATGTTTGTTGTTTGTACTATGCTCCTGTAAAAATTATTTTGCTTTTTACTAAATATTTTTAGGCCAGACATGGTGGCTCAGGCCTATAATCCTGGTACTTTGGGAGGCTGAGGCAGGAGAATCACTTGAGACCAGGAGTTTGAGATCAGTCTGGGCAATGTAGTGAAATCTCATCTCTACAAAAAAAGATTAAAAGAAAAAAAAAATTAGCCAGGCACAGTGATATGCACCTATATTCCTAGCAATTCAGGAGGCTGAGGCAGGAGAATCGCTTGAGCACAGGAGTTCTAGACTGCAGTGACCTATGATCATGCCACTGCACTCAAGCCTGGGTGACAGAGCAAGACCCTCTCTCTAAAAAAATAAAAATTAAATATTTCAGACGTAACTAAATGTATAAAGAATAACACAACAAATAGCCATGTACTTACCACCAAATTTAAGAAATCGACTGTTGTAAATATAGCTGAAGTTCCCAATGTTCCTTCCCTACTCACTTTCTGTTTCTGACCCCACTAAAGGGTCCTGTGTGTTATTTATGTGTGTATGTATGTTTTACACATAAAATAAAACAACATGCATGGAAATAAATACTAAATGTAGTAATAAATACTAAATGTAACATGCACACATTGTATTGTTCTACACATACATGCATACATAAAATATTGTTTTCCATGTTTTTAAGCTTTATATAAATGGACACATACTGTATGTATTCTTCTGCAACTTCTTTTGTTCTCTTAGTATTGTTTGCAAGATTTTTCATTATTGCTACATGTTGCTAGCTCTGCTGTTTCCTTTCTATAGCTGTTATTGTGTGCCTAGTTCATGATTTATTTCTTCATCCTCCTGCTAATTTGGGACATTTTGAGTTGTTTTCTAGGTTTTTGCTATTATAAATAATGTTGTGATGAACATGTGTTACATTTCTCCCTGCGAATATTATCAAGAGTTTCTTTACGGTCTATACTTGGAGCGGGGTTGTTGAGTCTTAAGATCTGTCATGGGGGCTTCTCGACCCTTATGAGATATTGCCACATTGCTCTGCAAGGTGGTTGTTCCAGTTTACTACCCATTAGCCGTGAGTGAGAGTCCTCATGAGTCTACATTCTCACTACATGTGAAATTGTCAGATTTCTTCATTCTTACAAGCTCATGGGTATGAAATGGAATATTTTTGCAGTTTTAAGTCACAGCTTCATGATTACTAGTTACCTTGAGCATCTTTTGATGTTATTGGCCATATAAGGTTCCTGTTCTGTGACTTTCCTATATATCATTTTCCTATTTTTCAATTAGGTTGGTGACCTTTTTTAAAAAATTGATCTATATTAGTTTTTCTTTGCTAGTATATTCAGGATTCTAATTCTGAATGCTCAAGGGCAAGCATGGCATCCAACACATAGTAGGTACTTGATAAATGTTATAATCGATTCTCTTGTTCGTGGTGGTTTTGTTTTATGAAGTTGCCACACACACTGGACATTGAACCACTGCTCATAGAGGAAACACAGGTTTCTGTGAGGCCCTGGTCACAACAGTTTTATCAACCACCCAAAACATAACCTTGTTTTATGTGAGTTTCTGTTTAAAGACACTTTATTTAACACATATTATTAATTCATTAATATTGAATTCATTAATATTGAACCCAGCAGCATTGTAACTCATACCTGAATGAAGCTTACCTAATACACGTATTTGCTCTGGAAGGCACAGCAGAGTCTTCTTGCACTTAGCACTACAGCTTGGGGTCCATTTTAAGTAGCAAAATCACCAACAAAAAGCTCAAACTTAGGAAAACCTGGTGAAAAGGACACTTGTTTACAGTTTGAGAATGGAAACCAGGAGGTACATGGTTGCCTTGTTAGACTTCATCTGGAAAGTGTATGGCAGGCAACTCATTCTTCACCACTTGCACGTGTCCAGTAGAGACTGGGAAAGCACCAGAAGCATTGATTTGGGGGTTCCAAATAAATAAGTAGGTTAATTCACAAATATGAAATCTGTGTAGATCAACTGTATATCACCCATTCATCTTTGCCCCAGAGGAAATATTTGCCGACATTTTGCAGTGTTTCTTTCCAGTCTTTCTCTGTACATATTTTTATATTTTTACATAATTGAGTTCATGATATAGATAAAATTTTGGCCTTTTTTTGCTTCACTCTGTAAGTGTTATTGTAAACTATGCAAACTTTCTAACATTTTAAATTGCTTTATTCTGGTTTTATATTACATACATCATAATTTATTTTTGCATATTTACATTGCTTCTGGTTTTTAGCTGTTCTGAATCTGAACACCCTTCCTCTTTCAGTGGCAGCAGGCGCTCTTTAGTCATTTCTCCCCCAGTTCGAACATCTACGGTCTCCAGTCCACTTAACTCACCTACTAGTTCCTCTACACTTTCCTTGAAGAGTGAGAATGAATTTGTCTCAGCAACTGAAGATCTGGCACCTGATGCAGCCCAGGGGGAAGGCAATTCTGAGATCAAGGAGCTCTTAGAAGATGAGGAAATAGAGAAGGAAGGATCTGAAGCAAGCTCCTCTGAGGAAGAAGAGCCTCTACCAGCCTGCAATGGCACCGCCCAGGCCCAGCCCTCTCTTGCCATTAAAAGCGCCAAGTCCCAGGAGGAAGTTCCCCCCAACTCCCCAACTCCATCACCAGGCAGAGCCCTGAGCCCTTCAGGGCAGCCTTCATCATCTGCCACTGAAGTCATCCTCCGAACCCGCGCTGCAAGTGAAGGATCTGAACAACCAAATAAGAGAGCCTCTGTCCAGAGAACCTCAGCACCCCCTTGTAGGCCTCCTCCACCCAGAGCCACTCCAAGCCCCAGGCCCTCCTCAGGGAACATACCCTCCAGCCCTCCAGCCTCTGGAGAGGGTTCACCCACCAGCCCTAGGGCCTCCTTGGGGAGTGGGACTCCAAGTCCTAGGACCTCCCTTGAGGTTTCTCCTAATCCAGAACCACCAGAGAAGCCAGTAAGAACTCCTGAGGCCAAAGAAGATGAAAACATCCAGAACCCCAAAGAACTTTGCACTTCCCCCGCCTTAATGACATCTCAGGTAAGAGTAGTTCTAGTTGGGTCTTTTATTATTTATTTATGCATGCCTGCAGGCTAGGATCTCACTCTGGCACCCAGACTGGAGTGTAATGGTGCGATCACAGCTCATTGCAGCCTCAACCTTCTAAGCTCAAGTGATCCTCCCCGCATATAGAGTCTCCCTATGTTGCCCAGGCTGGTCTTGAATTCCTGGCCTCAAGTGATCCTCCTACCTTGGCCTCCCAAGGTGCTGGGATGACAGACGTGAGCCTCTGCACCTGGCTCCAGTGGGGTCTTTACACCCTTTTATAACCCCCACTTAGGTCATCTTTGCTATGGTCAGAACACTCTTGGACACCTTTTTTGGTTCTGGAGATTGTTTCATGTCTTTATAACAATTAATTTAGTAATCTAGTTTTAGGGTAATTGACTTCTCTAAGGGGCTTATCTCTAGTAGTGTTATGAGCAGATTCTTACTAATTTCTTTCTTTTCCTTCAAGTTCTGGGAGCTCCTAGTTAAAGAACCTATAGTTGAAGCCAGGCGTGGTAGCTCATGTCTATAATGCCAGCAATTTGGGAGGCTGAGGCAGGCAGATCACTTGAGGCCAGGCCTTCAAGATCAGCCTGGCCAACACGATAAAACCCCGTCTCTACTAAAAATACAAAAACTAGCCAGGCATGGTGGCATCTGTAGTCCCAGCTACTTAGAAAGCACAAGAACACAAGAATCGCTTGAACCCAGGAGGCAGAGGTTGCAGTAAGCCGAGATCATGTCACTGCACTCCAGCCTAGGCAACAGAGTGAGACTGTATCTCAAAGAAAAGAAAAGAAAAAGAAAAAGAAAAGAAAAACTAATACAAAAGAAAGAAAAAAAACAACAATCAATAAATAAATAACATTTAAGAAATAAAGAACCAATAGTTGGAATCCTGAGCTTTACCTTCTTTAATGGAAGCAGGAGGGTGGGTCTCACTTCAATTCATCATACCTATGACTATGGTAAATAGACCCTGAAAGAAATGGCAGCAAATTTCCAGGGTGTATCTTCTCTAATGAGAAGATCTAGAAGCAAGAACTCACAGAGGATAGCTACTTGGCCCACCCCCACCCCCCCAAAAAAGAAAGAACTCACAGAGGGAAGTAAAGCAAAAAGTACAGCCTTTTGAAAAGGCTGCTCCCTACTTAGGAGGCTGAGGCAGGAGGATTGCTGGAGTTTATGAGGTCGAGGCTGCAGTGAGTACCACTACACCCCAGCCTGGGCACCAGAGTGAGACCCTTTTGAAAAAAAAAAAAAAATTGAGAGATTCCAACCCATTGGAAAGCAACTAGTTCTGTAAAGGATCTGTAAATCAAGTATATTCTTTTTTTTCTTTCTTTCTTTTGAGACAGGGTCTCACTCTGTCACCCAGGCTGGAATGCGATCACAACTCACTGCCGACTTGACCTCTCTGGGCCCCAGTGATCTTCCCACCTTAGCCTCCCAACTAGCTGGTACTACAGGCGCATGCCACCACACTTGCTTCATTTCTGTATTTTTGGTAGAGATCGGGTTTCTCTATGTTGCCCAGGCTGGCTTCAAACTCTTGGGCTCCAGTGATCCTCCCACCTCCACCTCCCAAAGTGCTGGGCTTATAGGTGTGAGCCACCATGCCCGGCCTCAAGTCATATTCTAGTCACATTACATAGAAAGGCTATCATATAGGGATTTGACTTGTTCTGTGACACTCCAGAGGGCAGAGGCAGACGCTATGTATAAAGTCTTTTTTTTTTTTTTTTTTTGAGACGGAGTTTCGCTCTTGTTACCCAGGCTGGAGTGCAATGGCGCGATCTCGGCTCACCGNTTTGAGACGGAGTTTCGCTCTTGTTACCCAGGCTGGAGTGCAATGGCGCGATCTCGGCTCACCGCAACCTCCGCCTCCCGGGTTCAGGCAATTCTCCTGCCCCAGCCTCCTGAGTCGCTGGGATTACATGCACGCGCCACCATGCCCAGCTAATTTTTTGTATTTTTAGTAGAGACGGGGTTTCACCATGTTGACCAGGATGGTCTTGATCTCTTGACCTCGTGATCCACCCACGTCGGCCTCCCACAGTGCTGGGATTACAGGCTTGAGCCACCGCACCCGGCTATAAAGTCTTTTTTTAAGATACATTTTACATCAGTACAAGAAGAACTTTCAACAATTAGCTCCATTTTAAAATGGGATGGAAAAAAAATATTGTGACAGGCAAAGGAGATACAAGGGGCTGTCAAAAAAAAAATATGGGATGAGCCGCTTTGAGAATTAGTTCTCTTTCCTTGATGTTAAGAGCTAAGCATATATGATCTCCAGTCAGGTACATTGTAGAGAGGATTATGGTGAGATGTCTGACTAGATGGCACCAAGATTTACTCATTCATTCTGCAATTACTTACTGAGTCCCTACTATGTGCCTGGCACTTTTCTAGGAGGTGGGATATGATACTGAACAAAACAAAATTCCTTGCCTTCCTGGGACTTAACATTTTAGTGCAGGAAGACAGACCAAAAAAAAAGAATAAATAAAATTTCAATCTAGTAATAATAAGTGAAATGAAGAAAAATTAAGTAGGGAAGGGCACAGGCAGTGGGAGCTGAGTTGCAAGCTTATAGAGTGGTCAGCAGTGACACGTGAGCAATGAAGGAGGCTAGCACGTGAGCCATGTGGATATCTGGGAGAAGCGTGTGTCATTTCTGGCACTTGCCAGATCACACCCTCCACCTACTGCCACTGTCTGACAGAGGCTACCTCAGGAGTCTCCTGCTATCTCAGAGGGGCTAACATGAACCAAGGGTACAGGGATGGCTTCCAGGGTGGGAAGGTGTGGGACTCTCTCCTCCATTGTTCATTTTGATTCACAGATTGCTTCAGAGCCTGGAGAGGCAAAGACGATGGAAGACAAGGAAGAAGATAAGCTTGTCTCAGCTGACTCCTCTGAGGTACTAAAAGTCAAAGTCATCTACATGATTATGCCCTATTTTTTTACACATTAAAATTTATTTTTCATGTTCCAGAAGTATATCTTTCAGATGCCCTCAGTCTTGATTCACTTGAAGCACTGATGGCCCTAACAGAGCAAGATGTAAAACTTTTCAAGTCAGGCTCAGTGGTACAAGCCTGTAATCCCAGCTACTTGGGAAGCTGAAGTACATCACTTGAGCCCAGGTGTTCAAGGCCATAGTATGCTATGATCGCACCTGTGAATAGCCACTGCACTCCAGCCTGGGCAACATAGTGAGATCCCATCTCTTTTAAAAAAAATTTTAATAAAAAGAACTGGGTGCAGTGCCTCAGCCTCCCAAAGTGGCTGTAATCCTAGCACTTTGGGAGGCTGAGGCGAGTGGGTCATTTGAGCCCAGGAGTTCAATACTAGCCAGAGCAACATAGCAAAAACTCATTTCTATAAAAAATATAAAAATTAGCCAGGCATGGTGTCATGTGCCTGTGGCCCCAGCTACTTGGGAAGCTGAGATAGAATCACCTGAGCCCAGGGAGATTGAGGCTACAGTGAGCCATGATTGCGCCACTGCCCTCCAGCCTGGGCAACAGAGTGAGACCCCGTCTCAAAAAAAGACTTTTTAAAATTAGTAATAAAAAGAACTTTTCCTTGGTCAGTTTCTAGTCTGAGGCAGCTGTGCTGATGGAGAGAGATAGGCAGGACATGTGGATAGTGAATAAGCACAGGATAAATGCAGGGTTTTGAGTAGGTAAACTATAGCCACTTCTCATTTTTCTGCACTGAAAAGAGCAACTCACTGGTTGAATTGATTTCAGTTTGACTTTGCAATGTATTATATGATTTTAGATGGAGACAGTAATAGAGTGACCTTTTGTTTGCCTCCGGGGAATAATAAAACAAGCTTGCATTTTTGGAGTAATCTTTTGGAAAGGAAGAGTTTAATGGGAGCCAAGGCTCTTTCTGACCATTTTAAGGAACAGGCTAGTCACACTGTCCTCTCTGGAAAAGAGGTACAGGACACACTCTCCTTTCCCCCGAGTCTGTCTCCTTATATTTGAGATTTATAATATTTCCTTACTGTCAGCCTCTCTGGTGGGATTGCTTTGGTCATCGGCTAAGGAGAAATATTTTTCCTGTAGAATTAAGCAACTAGAGCATCTTAGGTCCTACCCTATTTGTATCATTAATCCTCTGAAGCCTGTGTCCTACAAGATAGGCTCACTTCCCTTGCGGATGCAATATAAATCATATTTTCTCTCAGGCAGAATTATGGACATGTCACATGTAAAAATGGGTAAATATGAATATAACTGGGGAAAAACATAGCCATTTTTGAAAAAAAATTACTGGGAAAAAAATCTGCTCTTACTTACCATTTGAATCATCTCAGAGAGATGGAAGGTGTTGATAACTTTCTGGGAGGTGATGTAACATCACCTTTGAGCTAATTCATGACCTGGAAAGGGGGGGAGTAAGAAGAAAGAAAATGTCCTTGAAAAAGAAATCATGGACTTTCAAGTGGTTCTCACATTGTTCGAAATTGGTTTTGTTGGCTGGGTGCTGTGGCTCACGCCTGTAATCTCAGCACTTTAGGAGGCTGAGGCGGGTGGATCACTTGAGGTCAGGAGTTTGAGACTAGCCTGGTCAACATAGTGAAGCCTCATCTATACTAAAAATACAAGGCCAGACGCGGTGGCTCACGCCTGTAATCCCAGCACTTTGGGAGGCCGAGGCGGGTGGATCACGAGGTCAAGAGATCAAGACCATCCTGGTCAACATGGTGAAACCCCGTCTCTACTAAAAATACAAAAAATCAGCTGGGCATGGTGGCACGTGCCTGTAATCCCAGCTACTCAGGAGGTTGAGGCAGGAGAATTGCCTGAACCCAGGAGGCGGAGGTTGCGGTGAGCTGAGATCGCGCCATTGCACTCCAGCCTGGGTAACAAGAGCGAAACTCCGTCTCAAAAAAAAAAAAAAAAATACAAAAATTAGTCGAGTGTGTTGGCAGGGAGGTGCCTGTAATCCCAGCTACTTGGGAGGCTGAGGCAGGAGAATCGCTTGAACCCAGGAAGCAGAGGTTGCAGTGAACCAAGATCATGCCACTGCACTCCAGCCTGGGCAACAGAACCAGATTCCTTCTCAAAAAAACAAACAAACAAACAAAAAAAAAACAACAACAAAAAAAGATTGGTTCTGCTTTTAAAGTATGGATTTTATAGTTTGTGAATTAAATTTTTTGTTTAGTCTCACTCTGTCGCCCAGGCTGGAATGCAGTGGTGTGATTTCAGTTCACTGCAACCTCCACATCCTGGGTTCAAGTGATTCTCCTACCTCAGCCTCCCAAGTAGCTGAGACTGCAGGCATGTCCACCATGCCTGACTAATTTTTTGTATTTTCAGTAGAGACAGGATTTCACCATGTTAGTCAGGATGGTCTCGATCTTCTGACCTCATGATTCACCCACCTTGGCCTCCCAAGGTGCTGGGATCAGGCGTAAGCCACCATGCCCAGCCTAAATTTCATTTTTTTAAAAAACTTGTTTTAAACCTCACAGGGTCTTTCCCTAGCATATAAGTTTCTAAGCAGGGCTTTCTTTTTTTAAAAAAAAATTATGTTTTTTAGAGATGATCTCACTATGTTGCCCGGACTAGAGTGCAGTGGGTATTCACAAGTGCACTACAACCTTGATACTCCTGGCTTCAAGTGATTCTCCTGCCTCAGCCTCTTGAGGAGGTGGGACTACAGGCATGCACCATACACATGGCCTAGACTGGCCTTCCTACACCTTGGGTTCCCATCTCAGAACCTAAAATTTTTCCCAAAGAAATCATTTTACCACTTGCTTCTCCTAACTGCTTATCATGGATTAGGATCACTTGAGTGTGAGAGTTGCAGTACATTCTTGAAGAGGGTTCATCTAAAAGTGGCAGGTAGTAGTTATAAGTCCTCACACTCCCATACAGATATACATCTACACCACGTCACACAGATCACATGGTGTTTGATCACGGAAACAACTCTGGAATCCAAATAACTGGTTTCCTGTTGCAGCAAGTCTTTTTACCCTTTGAATCTTAGTTTCTTCATCTGTAAAAAAAGGATGGATGAAAGCCTTTCCCAATGCCCTCAGGCTATGGTGAAACAACACTGTATGTTTGCCCTTTGTAATAGTACAAATAATGAGACCCTTGTAAAGTATAAGGCACAGAAGACACTTCTACACTGAAAGTCTGGAAAGGTTGAGCCACCTCTTACTGGCAGAATTCTTCTCTTTGTAGGGCCAAGACCAGCTTGAAGTCTCCATGGTACCAGACGAGAGCAACCTCACAGCACCTGAACCTCAAGAAGAGGTAAGACCACATATACAGAGAACAGATTGGGCATTAGATTGACAGGAGTTTGGCAATAGGCTGGAATCCTCACCACAGGATACAAGATGAATCCAGCAGTGAACCATACCCTCAGGGTAGTCAAGCAGGTGGGAACCAGAGGAAGCAAGAATGAACTGGGACTTCAAGGTGTCTCTGTGCTCATTTCCCTATGTCTGACTTAGCCCTATCTCCTAGGCATGTATTTAATTAAACCTCAAATTATTTTAGGAGTTAAAGGAATTAAGATATTTAAAAATATATATATATGTGTGTGTATATATATATATATGTGTGTGTGTGTATGTGTGTATATATATATATATATATATATATATATATATATATATATATGTATATAGGGCCGGGTACAGTGGCTCACGCCTGTAATCCCAGCACTTTGGGAGGCTGAGGCAGGCAGATGACGAGGTCAGTTTGAGAGCAGCCTGGCCAATATGGTGCAACTCTGTCTCTACTAAAAATACAAAAATTAGCCAGGCTTGGTGGTACTCACCTGTAGTCCCAGCTACTCAGGAGGCTGAGGCAGAAGAATTGCTTGAATCCAGGAGACAGAGGCTGCAACAAGGCGAGATTGCACCAGTACACTCCAGCCTGGGCAACAGAGCCAGACTCCGTCGCAAAAAAGAAAAAACAAATTTAGAGACAGTATCTCACCTTGTCACCTAAGCTGGAGTGCAGTGGCATGATCATAGCTCACTGTATCCTCAAACTCCCGAGCTCAAGTTGATCCTCCTGAGACTCCATCTCAAAAAAAAAAAAAAAGGAATATGTATATTATACAGTAATGTGTTGCTTAACAACAGGGATGTGCTCTGAGAAATGCATTATTAGGCGATTTTGTTATTGTTTGCATCTGTATGGTATAGCCTATTGCTCCTAGGCTGCAAACCTATACAGCATGTTACTGTACTGAATGCTATAGGCAGTTGTGACACCATGGTAAATATGGTAAATATTTGTGTATCCAAACACAGAAAAGTACAGTAAAAATATTGTATAGAAGATAAAAAGTGATACGCTTGTATAAGGCACTATCATGAATGGAGCTTGCAACACTGGAAACTGCTCTGGGTGAGTGAGTGAGTAAATGGTGAGTGAACGTGAAGGCCGAGGGCATTACTGTACACCACTGTAGACTCTATAAACACTGTACACTTAGGCTACACTATTAAAATATAGTTTTCTTTCTTTCTTTCTTTCTTTTTTTTTGAGATGGAGTTTCATTCTATTTTTGTTTTTGTTTTTGTTTTCCTGTGACGGAGTCTTGCTTTTGCTCTGTCGCCAGGCTGGAATGCAGTGGCACAATCCCGGCTCACTGTAACCTCTACCTCCTGGGTTCAAGCGATTCTCCTGCCTCAGCCTCCCAAGTAGCTGGGACTATAGGCATGTGCCACCACACCCAGCTGATTTTTGTATTTTTTGTAGAGACGGGGTTTCACCATATTGGCCAGGATGGTCTCGATCTCTTGACCTCGTGATCCACCCTCCTCGGCCTCCCAAAGTGCTGGGATTACAGGCGTGAGCCACTGTGCCCGGCTGATGGAGTTTCATTCTTCTTACCCAGGCTGGAGGGTGCCGTCTCAGCTCATAGCAACCTCTGCCTCCCAGGTTCAAGTGATTCTCCTGCCTCAGCCTCCCAAGAAGCTGGGATTACAGGCATGCACCACCACACCTAGCTAATTTTGTATTTTTAGTAGAGACTGGGATTACAGGCATGCGCCACCACACCTGGCTAATTTTGTATTTTTAGTAGAGACAGGGTTTCTCCATGTTGGTCAGGTTGGTCTCAAACTCCTGACCTCAGGTGATCTGCCTGCCTTGGCCTCCCAAAGTGCTGGGATTACAAGTGTGAGCCACTGTTCCTGGCCAAAACATATTTTCTTTATATCCTTATTCTGTAAGCTTTTTTCTACATTTTTTCTATTTTTTCTGTTTTTTTTTTTGAAACTTTGTCAAAAACTAAGACACAGAACTGGGTGTGGTGGCATGTACCTGTAGTAGTTCCAGCTATGCAGGAGGCTGAGGCAGGAGGATCACTTGAGCCCACAAGTCCAAATATAACCTGGGCAACATAGCTAGACACCATCTATAAACAAATAAATAAAAACACACAAACATACCTTGGCCTAGGGTCAGGATCATCCATATCACTGTCTTCTACCTTTACATCTTATCCCACTAGAAGATCTTGAGAGCATTACCACAAATGAAGCTGTCATCTCCTATAATAACAATGCCTCCTCCTGAAGGACCTACTTGAAGCTGTTTTACAGTCAATGTTTTTTTTAATGAGCAGACTGTTTTTTTGAGACAGAGTCTTGCTCTGTCGCCCAGGGTGGGATGCAGTAGCATGATCTTGGCTCACTGCAAACTCTGCCTCCTGGGTTCAAGCGGTTCTCCTGCCTCAGCCTCCTGAGTAGCTGGAATTACAGGTGTGTGCCACCCACCTGGCTAATTTTTGTATTTTTAGTAGAGATGGGGTTTCATCATGTTGGTAAGGCTGATCTTGAACTCCTGACCTCATGATCTGCCTATCTCAGCCTCCCAAAGTGCTGGGATTACAGGCGTGAACTACCATGCCCAGCCAATAAGCAGAACTTTTTTTAATAAGTAGGAATACACACTAAAATAGTAATAAAATGTATTGTAGGCCGGGCGTGGTGGCTCATGCCAGTAATCCCAGCACTTTGAGAGCCTGAGGCAGGCTTATCACTTGAGGCCCTCAGAGTTCAAGACCAGCCTGGCCAACATGGTGAAACCCCATCTCTACTAAAAATACAAAAATTAGGCCGGGCGCGGTGGCTCAAGCCTGTAATCCCAGCACTGTGGGAGGCCGAGGCGGGTGGATCACGAGGTCAAGAGATCGAGACCATCCTGGTCAACATGGTGAAACCCCGTCTCTACTAAAAATACAAAAAATTAGCTGGGCATGGTGGCGCGTGCCTGTAGTCCCGGCTACTCGGGAAGCTGAGGCAGGAGAATTGCCTAAACCCGGGAGGCGGAGGTTGCGATGAGCCGAGATCGTGCCATTGCACTCCAGCGTGGGTAATGAGAGCGAAACTCCGTCTCAAAAAAAAAAAAATACAAAAAAATACAAAAATTAGCTGGGTGTGGTGGCGCACACCTGTAATCCCAGCTACTTGGAAGGCTGAGGCACAAGAACATGAGAATCCCTTGAACCTGGGATATGGAGGCTGCAGTGAGCTGGAATTGTGCCACTGCACTCCAGCCTGGGTGATGGAGTGAGTGAGACTCTGTCTCAAAAACAATATATATAGAAAAATATTTTTTGAAGTATAATATATTAGATGCATCAAGTAATATAGTTGTTATTATCAATATTATATACCGTACATAATGCATTTGCTATACTTTTTACAACTAGCAGCGCTGTAGGTTTGTTTATACCAGCATCATCACAAATATGTGAATAATGTATTGGGCTGTGATGTTATGAAGGCTGCAGTGTTGATAATAGCTGCTACGTCACTAGGCAGTAGAAATTTTTCAGCTCCATTATAATGTTATGGGACTGCCTTTGTATATAGAGTCCATTGTTGACCAAACATCCTTATGCAGCACATGAGCTGTATGTATTTATATTTATTAACATACACACACAACATATAGCAGAAAATTATATCAGACAGGACAGTGATAGAAAATGGAGCCATTGAATTAGGCAAGTACAAAAAATGCATTCTATAAAATAAGCTTACTAAGGATGACTGTGAAATTGGTTCCAGACTTTCTAAAATCCAAGAAGAGAAAATCCTGTCAGTTAACCCAATTCATGATGCTCATTCCTTTTTTTTTTTTTTTTTTTGTTTTTAATAGTAACGATCTAACTCACCAGAAATGATGCTTATTCCTTAAGAGAACAACAACTCCTACTAAGATGAAAAAGAGGCTGGGTGCAGTGGCTCATACCTGTAGTCCCAACACTTTGGGAGGCCGAGGGGAAAGGATCACTAAGCCCAGGAGTTCAAGACCATTCTAGGCAACAATATATATTTATTGAAATGGAGTCTCAATCTGTTGCCCAGGCTGGAGTGCAGTAGCATGATTTTAGCTCACTGCAACCTCCACCTCCCAGGTTCAGGCAATTTTCCTACCTCAGCCTCCTGAGCACCTGGGATTACAGGCACATACCACCACGCCTGGGTAATTTTTGTATTTTTAGCAGAGACAGGGTTTCACCATGTTGGCTAGGCTGGTCTCGATCTCTTGACCTCAAATGATCCACCCACCTCAGCCTCCCAAAGTATTGGGATTACAGGCGTGAGCCACCACACCCAACTTCAAAAAACTTTTTAATAAATTAGCCAGGCATGGTTGTGTGTTCCTGTAGTCCTAGCTACTCGGAGGCTGAAGTGAGATCACCTGAGCCCAGGAGTTCAAGGCTACAGTTTGCTATGATTGTGCCACTATACCCTAGCCTGGGAGACAGAGCAAGACTATGTATCAAAAAGAAAAAAAAAAGAAAATTCTCCTGTGAATCATCATAAAGAGATGATGTAATGAACAATATCTGCAACAAGGCTTTGCAATAATCCCAACAACCAGTTTCACATTGCCTCCCTCAAGAGAGGCCAGTGGCATTACATGAAGTATAATTCAGCAGAAGCAAATTGAGTTTAACCCCTCCATAAGTAGTTAGTGGGAAGGCAGGTCAACACCTAACACAATCATGTTTACTTTCCAGGTTTCTACAAGTGAAAGTGCACAGCTCTGAAGAGAAACTGCCAAGACTCCCCCCATTCACACCTCCCCAGAGAAGCTCTTCAACCAGAGGGTATGGGTCAGAGGGATATAAGAACCAGCATTCATCCCTGGGTTCTCACTAGGAATGCTGGTGCTCTCTAAAGACCTGGCATTAATGGAGGTGGGGGAGCAGCCTTATGGGAGGAATGGAGAGAGGCAGGCTGGGGAGAAGAGAGTATTAGACTCAGGGAATATTTAATTCAGGTTTTAGCATTATTAGAATAAGACTTTAAGCCGGGCGCGGTGGCTCACGCCTGTAATCCTAGCTCTTTGGGAGGCTGAGGTGGGTGGATCACCTGAGGTCAGGAGTTCAAGACCAGCCTGACCAACATGGTGAAACCCCATCTTAAAAAAAATAAAGACTTTATACATTAAAGTGAAGCTATAATCACAATAAAAAGCAAAAGTATCTATAGACACAGACACTTGTCTATACAGAGACATCACCATACATACTGAGAGGATACTGAACAAACCTCTTTGACTTATGACTCATTTTGCAAGACTTAAAGCCAGAAGAACACATTTTCAGATTGTTAAATAAAGTCTGATTCTGACTCTCTGTGGATTATTTGACAGCATTGTTCCAACTCAGCACACTGTTTTCTACCTAGGTACGGTTATTGATTCTGCCCCAGGTTCAGAAAGCTTTAGTCACATCCCTGACCCCAGCTCACTCTAACTCCTGACTGTAATTCTTTTATGATTCCAAGGGCCACAGACTGTTCTTCATAATCCTGCATGTCTTTCCCACTTTGGTTGATAAGCATATACACTTGGAAAGGGGTAATAACATTTTAGAGCTATATCTAGTGTTTACAATATAGTACTTGGTACAAGTAAGGGTCGGAGCACAAGAGAGGAAGATATGAAACCGCAAGTGAAGGGAAAGGATACAAAGTATAATAATCATCACCATATCCTGGAAATTGCAAGATATTTGGAGTCAGAAGTCCTGGATTCCTTTGGGAGGCCAAGGTGGGAAGATTGCTTGAGCCCAGAAGTTCGAGACCAGGCTGGGCAAGATGGTGAGATCTCCACCTCTTATTTTATTTTTTTTTTGA